GCGAATCATTAAAACCTATCTGTATATCAGGAGCTAAATATTTCCATCATAACGCAAATGCCTTCAAATTTGTCTGGTTTCCACATAAACTTGTGATCCAATCTGGATATGGCTTAGTTTCTACGTCAACGATAAAAAGCTTCTCCAATGCAGTAGAGTCATCTTTCCGGTGTACTGTCATGCAAATCATAAACATTCTATCTCATCTTTATTCTTTGCAACTGGAAGGTCTCCGATTCACGTGATCTATGAGTTTCAATATCTCATGTAAGAACAAGCGTTCTATCTCGGTTAAGTGCAGAAATAATTAATGAGTCTTTATACTCCTTTTCACCTATTGAGATAGAATTATCCATAGAAACTCGGAATGAATAAATATTTGGCGACCAATTCCCATTGTGTAGTGCCGCCCAACTAGAAATAGGTAATCTTTTCTCACGAGCAATTTTACGATAATAATATTTATTATTTAGATTATCAAATGAAATTCACAAATCACTTTTAAAATGTTCAATCGGTCATATTGATTTTATGTTATTGTGCGTATATACAGTATGCTTTCTTTTCTGTATGGTATCCATGAACTGGATAATCTCAATTCCAAATTTTGATGTTCCTTTGATGGTTTTAGATATAGATATAATTTTCACTAATCTTGATTTGAATATGGAAAGGGATACATTATTAGGTACAGCAACATCAAAGAAAGGTCTAATTCCTGTAATGTCTACTTTAGCTTTTTATCCATTAATTAAAGTTTCATAAATACGTACAGTAGGACATGTGTTAATATAATACTCCATTTATACATTCAGAGCATCACCTACATCATTAGGCATAAAATGTATGGGCAGCTTATCAGATATGCTTTGCTGAAGTATGGCCGTTAAACCATTATCACATTTTTGAAATAATACTGTATCATTACGAGTTGGGGTACCTTCTAAAGTTTCCCCGCCCCCGTACCGGATCACTTGTGCGTTTGTTATGTATCAGTTTTAGTTCGGTTATATTTGCTCAATATAATCTGAAAAAGTTTAAATTATTTTTTTTAATGAGTAGTAAACGATATCAAAAAAAAAAAATAAAATAAAATAAAAATAGTATCAAACTTTAGCGAAATAAACATGAAGAATCGCGTGTTCAATAGTCAAGTAATTCTAAGTCGAGTGAAGTGATCTGCGGAATGATGTGTATATAAAATGGCGGAAGACTATAGTAAAATACATATAGATTTGATAGTAGTTAACAGGTATAGTCTTTTTCGAAATTTTTTGCTTCGCAACAACAAGCTATAACAATGTAGTTTTCTGGATACTGTACGTAGTCAGATATAATTTGAAAGTAGTTTTAGGTATAGTCTTAATTGGTATATGTAGTTAGATGCAACGGTATAGTCTTTTGCGGAATATATCTATATAATAATTATGGCAGAAGACTATAGTAAAATTGGTATATGTTTTGTGTAACTTTTCAAGGTAGGTTTATTCATAGTAAAAAAAGATGCCATATACCCATCTCCCATATTAAACATAGGCGAAAACGATTTGGTAGCATTTTCCAATGAGAGCGTATACCCGACTCACGAAGGTGAGAATGCTTACGCATCTAGCATGACTCGAAGCATTTATGCTCGCATTAATCGATAGCATATCCAATAATACACTTGATAGCACATATGTATAAGCATATTTGATAGTATTCCTTGATAGCAACTCGATAGCATATCTAACAACATACAGTATATTCTCACTATTCGCCTTCACAAATGATCTACAAAACGCATTCACCCAATTGTTTACATGTGATCTAACGACCATATGGCTTAACTGCGGAAATCGTTATCGAATTTGGGGTTATAATAAGACGCCATAACCTAAGTTGGATATTTTCTTCTAACGGCGATCAGAAACATTAAGCTGATATACAAAAATTTATATGTGATTAAACATTATCGATACCGAATTTGACTTTCGGAAGCCGTCTACCTATCCACGTGTCGTAAAATAACCTTCGAGCGTGGCCTAAAAAGTATTCTATAATAGTAATCTTCTAATTAATAAAGGTAACTAACCATGATGACATGTTTTGAGTTAAAAATTTTTTTAATTCTTAATTAATTATAAAATCGAAATATTTGAGAAACATAAAAATTTAATTCGATTGTCATTTCCCAACAGTGTCTAGTTTGAACTGAATCCGCCCTTATGCATCAATTAATCTGATAAAATTCAAAATTTTTAAAATTTATATTACGAAGTTATTAGAAAATGAAACCCTATTTTTGTACGTTTTATTATGTAATCTAATTTCCTTTTTTTTTTTTTTGACGCTGGTGAAGGTTAAACATAAAACTGCAGTTTGTGAGAAGCCAAACTACTGAAAGGATGTGTTTTTCTCACGCCCTTGGCGTTGACATTGTTAGGCGTAATTCTATAAATAACTTTTTTAAAATTGCCATTTTTATTCCGGGAGATACTGTATGTCTTTTCATATACATATCCAAATTTCTTTGTGCGAAGGAATTTTTTTTTCTTAAACAATCATTACACAAATTACCGTGAGTCCAACACCATCTCCTATACCACTTATTTTTTCTAATTAAAAATTTTTAATACAGCATATTATTAATTTGATTTATTTGTTTATTTTTTTTTTTTGCAATAATCCATTAATCCAGTGTGTTTATTGTCTATTGACTACTTAAAAACTAAATTAATTTTTCTATTAATAAACTTGTCTTACTGTATGTTAAAATTTTTAAGTTTGATTATAAAAATAATATAATGTTTCATAAGTACAATACTTTGAATGAATATTCTTTTGATTATTTATTTTATTATTAGTTAATTGTCAAAAGTCAATTATTTTTTATATCACTAAATAAAATAAAAAATTATATTAGAAAAAAAGAAAAAAATTATTAATTTGTACAAATATATTATAATAAAAAAAAAAAAAAAAACTTTTAATACCTTTCAAAAAATCTAATAGTTTTAAAATTTTTTCTTTTTTTTTAATTATTTAAAAAACTTATTTATACTTATTCTAATTTTTTTTTCATTTATTATTTAAAAAACTTATTATTTATTATTTTCAAGAATAGTTACTTTTATAAGTTTGAGTTTATTTGCTATATTTTTATTATAAATTTTGATTTTTAAATTTTAAATTTTTTTTTACTTACAATTATATAATCATAATATATTTTTATTAAAATATTATTTACAATATTACATAAACTTTTATATAATAATTAATATTTTTTAATATAGTATTAATTGAAAAACTATATTACTCAAAAATATAAAAAGTTTACTGAACTAATTTGAATTATACAAAACTAAGTTTTAACTAATTACCCTAAATAAAATTTAAGTAATAATATAATTGAACTCTATTATTAAAATTATTAATAATAATTTATTATTATTAATTATCTTGAAAAACAAAAATTATTAAAATAACAAAATAAGAATAATAATAATAAAACAATTTAAAACTTTTTTTAAATTTTTTTTAATCTATTTAACAAAAATTTTTTAAAGAAATTTATTTGATTAAAAAAAATTTTTTTTAAAAAAAAAAACTCTCACTCACATCAAACTACCAAATTAGGAAACACTTAAGGAAAATAAAATTTTGTCTAAGGAAAAATCAAAGGTGAAGGAAGTTTTGCTCTAAAGTCTTCCAATATCAATATCCAAAATACCTTGCTAGATATAGTCTTGACTAATAATAAAAGGAACCTCAAAGTCATCATCATTTATAAAAATGATAAAATATCACAAATCTATGTTACCAAACCAGCAAAAGAAATTTATATTCTATCTTTTAACAACCATCCTAACTCTTGACTTATTCATATCATAATAAAACATATCAAATTAATAGAAGAGTTCATCAAAGTTGTCCAAGTAAAGTTTGAAGTCAGAAAACAACTTCTCAAATCTCAACTTAAAGCAACTGCCTTATTTTTAGATCCCAAGTCCTTGGATATACTAAACGCATTTACTGAACATCAAACAAAATTTAAACTAGACACAAATAATAGAGAGTGTACCATTAAAAAGGTAATAAAGAATACCTTGAACTATGACCTATACCTTTCATAGAGCGGAGTTATAATTATTGTCAAAAAATTCTTCCAAACCTTCAAAATTCAAAAAATCGAATCCCTAAACTCTCTTCAAATACTCTAGTCCCAAATGAGAAAATGAGCAGTGACAATGAAATGCAGATTGATTGTTCTTCTGAAACCATGCATGTAGAGCCCCCTGTGCACAATAAAGATCACCTCAGTGCTCAAGCAACAAATGCAACACATGTAACAGGTCATACCAACTCTTATACATCAAATGTAACACATGAAGTAGATCATATCAGTTTACCCAAATACCATGCTAGTTCTGATAGCACATGTTCTACATTATAATTATTCACAAGTGAAGCAGTCACATCATTATTTACAGGCACCAATAGTACAAATATAGAAGTGGATAACAATTTTATCCCAATCCAATTAGATTCATCTCAATCTCAGATGATTTCCTTATGGGCAAATAAAACAAAAGAAGAAGCTAAAACCAGACCTTTATCTCTTTCAACTATAAACAATAATATTAGAGATGTTAACCTAAAAGCTAAACAAGTAAAGCTAATTGAATTGTACTGAGATCTCGATAATTGCAAGTGCATCCCTAAAGCCATTATTGACTAGTTCCTAAAATTAAGAAAAGAAAGCAATCCTGGTCTAAAGCCTAATATCAAATTTATTTTCACTAAAATTCTACATAAGAATCGAGATTTTTTCAAAACCTTTGCTAGGAAGGAAATAATCAAGGGTCAATATCTGAGAGAGTATGAAAATATAGAGAAAAAGTTTCATAAAAATTATATTAAAAACAATAATATCAGATACATCAATTAAGCTATCAAGAGAAAAATCAGAATTATCATTAACAAAGCCCTTGCAGTTGCCTACATCAAATTCACAGACACCAAAACAATGAAATTCTGGCAAATAGCACAGATGCTGGAATACCTCTTTAACTTCTTTATCAATCCTACCCTGGACAGAATAAACTATCAAGAAATTTACACTCAATGTATAGAGTGAATAAAGAAAAACCTGCCCAACTTTCCTCAATTACCAAAAGAAATTCCTAGCTCAATCAAAATTAAATTATCAAGGATAATACCATTAGTATCATCCAATCACATCACTTAAGTTACTAGAAGCCTCAGAGCATTCTACAACTTTGACCTCCTTCTGACAATCTTTTTATCCAAAGACCAAATCTCTCAGAAGATCTCTTGATACTCAAAGAAAAGCTCGAAAAGCTCTTCCTCCTCATCAAAAGAAGTGACCTCAGAAATCTCAAATAGCTTACAAACCAACTAAGAAATGTTTATCATGTCCTGGCAAAGCTTCCAGAAAGCTACTTCCAATTGCTCACTTCCAAACAGACACTCCCAGCCTCATATAAAGAGTTGCCTCACGATCTGCGATTCTATTTCCCAGTTGACAATGAATCTAAAGTAATGAAAAAAGTAATTAAATCCTCAGACAACACAACTATACAGTGATACACATTCCCCTTGACTATATTAGAGTCAAGCACCCCTTGCCCCTAGCCCACTGGTTCGGTGAAAATAATAAATTAGATCTATCAATCATCCATTAAGAGGATGTAGAAAAATTCATTACCAATCTCTCTCACAAGTTCAAATTTGAGCTTCCGTTAGGATCACAGTGGATTAAAGAAAGTCTAGTTCAAGACAAGTGCTTTCCAATGCCCAAAGAGTTAAAAAAGATAGAGACACACCTCAATATCAACAAAGAACAACTTCACAGAGAGTCACCAGACTTCTCAACAACAATAAAAAAAATTAAACAAACATATCAAGGCTAGATTCTACAAAAATAGATTTTTTCGGTACTTCCAGAACTGCCCTTCCTATAAGAAACAAATAAATACCTTACCCAACAAGAAATAGACATTACCCTACCTTTAATAGAAGACTAATATATTAATACTACAATTCAGCTCCTCCGAGCCCACTTCTTCTTTGACAAACTTCCAATGACCTTCATCACCAAAACTGAGTCACTGGACCCAGATCTGACTTTCTTATCCTGTCTCTTTTAATAAGTACACAAACAAACTCCAGTCATTCTTTTAATTTAAAACACTCATCCTCACTCCAATACAACTCCTTCTCAATCATCACCCCTGCTGGATCAAGAGCAATCAAAATCAAAAATTAGAAATTTAATAACCATCTCAACTTTAAATGTTCAAGGACTTAATAAAAAGGAAAAGCTTCATGTCCTCATAAAAAACATAAACAATGAGAGAGCAATCTTATGCTACTCAGAAATCAAGAACACATTCTGCTATCTAAAAAATCAAAGACAAAATCATTATTTCTAGTCAACTAGCTTTCTCAGCAAGCAACGGTGCCAGTATCATTTTTTCCAAACCAATTTCGAACCACATTTATAACACATTTGCCTCTAATGAATTCTGGTACGCAGCTCACCTCAAATTCAAACCCAAAGTTCACATCATAATAATTTTCTGTTATCTATCACATAAACCAATCACGAGAAAAAAAATAGTCAAAACAATTAGAGATTTTATTAGGCAATATATAGACAAGCACATCATAATAAAGAAGACTTCAACTCCTATTTCAACTCAGCTCTTTCCATCAATGCATCCTCTCTGACTTTCAAGAGACAAGTTTATAGGTATCTACATAAGTTCATTGATGTTGCAAGAGCAATCAAGAAAGAGTCAGAATATACACACATCACATCCACAAGTGTCTCAAGAATTAATCAGATCTGGATAACCAATGACTTGGCAAGCAAGATAATTAGCTACAAAAGTCTTCAATCAAACAGCTATACCTACAGACCACAAACAAATCACTATAGTTCTTGATTGGTTTGAGTACAAACCTGACAAAATCTTCTTTTCAACCAGTACCTTCCAATTCCATTAGGCAATAAAAAAACAAGTCCAATCAATGTAGGAAGACATAGAACTTGCCCTTGCCACAATAGACAATATCTTCTGGGAAGCTCTCAACTTGGTTATAAAGCAAGCCATGGAATCCAATATCCCAAAACGAAAACAACAAAATCCCACCTAACCAAACAAAGCCCTTGCTAGGTACACAAATACATAACAATCTCAAACACAATCAGAGCCAATCAAAGCTATATCTCTTGATTGACAAAGCCATAAGAAAACTCTCTAACAACCCTCTAATAATTAAGACTCTGAGAAAAGCCCAAAGAGTTTTCCTCAAAGAAAAAATGTTCAAAGCTAAATAAATAGTAATGGATGAAGTCTGAACCAGTATAGAAAAAAACTACTACAGATTCTGGGTGAAATCAAAGGCATCTCTCAAAAAAGCTCTAGGAGATTTCAAACTATCTCTGGATCTGTCAATACTATCCAAAGGAGACCAACTGTGTGATGATCCAAATGAATTAAGCAAAATCATCTCTGATTATTTCAAAAGCATCTTAACACAAAAACCCTTTGAAATGGAGGAGAAATAGATAGAATACTACAACCCCATCCCAAGCATCCATAACACAATCTATTCAGATACACTTAGAATTATAATCTCAGAAGAAATGAAGAATATTCTTAGTGATCTTCCAAAAAACAAGGCACTGAGCCTCTCTTTAATTCCATATGAAATATGGAAAAACCTGAAGGAAAAAGTTTTCAAGTTGATAGTCGAACTATTTAACAACGTCCTCAAAATATCACAACCCCATATTATTGGAAACAATCAGCAATAGCCCTGCTTCCCAAAAAAATAGTATAATTATATGAACTAACCGATACCTATCCAATCTCCCTTATAGAATCAAGTAGGAAAATCTTTACAAAAATCATAAACAAAAGACTTATTCAATCCTTACTCCAACATAACATCCTCTTCAGTTGCAACTTCACTAGACTCAAGAATCAAAGCATAATGAAATCAATTACAATTGTATTCTCAAAAGCTGAGCAAGCCAAAAACCTTAACCAAGAGCTTTGGATCACCTCTTTTGACATCTCAAAGGCATTTGATTCAGTCAATCTTAACAGTCTTCATTATGCTCTCAATAGAGTCAAAATATCTATCAAAATCTCACAGCTCATCCTGAATCTCTTAACAGAAAAAGAGCTCAAAATTATCACACACTATGATCTAACAAATCCTTTAAAAATAGTAATGGCATTAACCAGGAAGAGATCCTAGCTCCCCTCCTATGATGATCTTCTATGATCCAATGGTTGCTAGAATCTCAAGTAACTCTGACCCCTCATTAGCAATATCTGCATACATGGATAATGTGACTCTCATAAATCAATATATCCACACTCTTCAAAAAATGACAAACATATTCTGTTCCTTTCTTAAACTAAACGTAACAAGAAGAAATCCAATCTAATTAATAATATCAAGACCAGAAGTTGATATGCTAATAAAATCTTAATGATCAAAGAGAAGTCCATCAGCCCTAAACCTTATAAAGAAGCAATCAAATATCTAGGAATCTATCTTTCCAGATACTCATCAGCAAAGGCAACCAAAAACAAACTTAAGGAGAAAATAGACAAATTCACAAAATCAATTGCTAGTCAAAAGGGATGAAATGACATTATTACCAAACAAGCATCCTATTGGATTATCCTTACATAACTAGACTATGCAACACAAGTCTCAGTTTTAAGTGATAACAAATGCTCTCAACTCTAATAAAAAATGGCTAGAGTTATTAAGCAAAAACTAAGAGTTAAATAGATACTCTCTAACAAAGTTTTCTATTTTTATACAGGCTTGGGCATCATAAATCTATGAGACAGAAGAGATCTAATAGCAGTCAAACTTCTCATTGCCAAACTGTCCAACAAAAAAACTATTCCAGATATCAAACTGGAAATTTATTCCATCCAATCTGCATATGCAATTTGGGACTATTTAATATGCAACTCACAATACTTTGAGGACTCATAGATAGTCTTAGCTGCACTGATCGCTAAGATATACAATATCAATATATGTCTACACCCCTGTTCTTTTAACCTCAAGAACCATGAACACTCCATTGATCTTATTACAAAAATGCCTAAATCTACAGCCTTGACAATCTCTAAATCACAAATTTATACCATTAAAATCTCCTGATCTTTAATTAACCACTGAAACTAACATGGGATGAGCTTCACATGCATAGAAGAATAGTAGCCTATGATAGAATTCCACCATGGTTCAATGAAATCCAAATTAGTGACAGCTCAATAATTGAAGACACCTTATCCAAACCATATCCTAGACTGATATTCTGGGCATACCTATCGAACAACAATTTAAAATTCATAAGAGTCAGAAAATGCTATCTATACAGACCCAGTTAGAGACCTTCACTATCTCATTGATGTCAACTCAAAACAACTGATTCCTTGTCACTGTAACAGAACTCTCTGCACAATAACAAAAAACATCTCTGAATTAAACTCCTCCTGGACTACCAAAAAGCTGGGATATTATCACCTTCTCAATAACATTTTAGAATTAAAAAAATCATTAGCAATATGCCCCAACCAACTTACTACCAGGTATTCTGATTCATCCCTAAATCCAAAGGGTACCTTTGAACATAAGCATCTCACAAGTTAGAAATCAATTAGTCATCCAGAAATCACTCACGATCCATTTATACAATCTCAAATTCAATTTTTGGGCAAGCTTTTGGCCCATTATGAAGGAAACAATAAAGAATAGTCCTTCTAATTCCTCAGTATCTATCTCACTATATTATCTCCCCACCTTAATAATTCCTGAGTACTTCAATAGTCAAGTCAAAACACCATTTAGCAAATACATTAAAAATATAAGTTAGCTCTCATAAAAAAACAACATCTCTATTTCATGGACCAGAGAAAAAAAAAACAAGAATGTCAACTGCTCTCTAATATCTAATGCTAATATTATAACTCCCTACCTACCCTCTTTCAACATACGGACTCTTATTTCTAATTTATCAATTCTATACCATCAGCGCAGTGCACTGGATCAAGTTTATTAACTACTACTCCAATCTTTTCAAACTTCTCTTAAACCAGTTATCTATATATAAATCTCAAATTCTCAAACAAATAGAAACTATTATCAAGTCAAACAAAAAAATCAATAATAGGGACCAAGTCAGATATAGAGCCCTAGCAACTTTCTGAATCAAACTCATTGCCAATCAGCTTCCAATCAGAGCAAAACTTCACAAAAGATATTCAGAATTGTATGACAGTGACCTCTGTCCTTGGTGCGATGTATATCCAAAAACCCTAGAACATGTCTTCTCTTGCTATTATGCATCTACCTATATAAACAATAAAATGGTAAGCTTACCAGCCTAATTTCATAACACTTAGATAAGACTTCTCCACCAAGAAGTTAAGCCCCCTACATTGATCTCTTTAGCTCTAACATATTCAATCACTCTTTAGGCATCTTTCAGCCCCCCCTTGATATTATAAAAGATAAGTCAGACATTTCAAATAAAGTATTAAAAGTCTTATACAAGATCTGAAAACAAAGGTCTGACACCATCTCAATCTCAATATCCTCAGAGATTAAGTAGAAAAAAACAAAAGCAACAATAGATCTGGCAGTGACAAAAGACATCAATAATAATATAGTCTTTGTCAAAATCTTAAATACCTTAGAAAACAATAATAACTTACTGACAAAATAATCTTCACACCAGCAGTTATCTCATTGTTCTGAGTCGGTATTATCCATTCGGTATCAGTATTGTGGACACATCTTCTAAGTGTAAGTTGGTATAACTGGTTTAATCACAATAGGATACAATTAATTTGTATTTGTATTTATATAAATCAAAGATTGTTAATGTAATGGCATCAAACTATTGTTTAATAAAAAGTTTCGCATTTAAATATTCATTTGCAATTAAAAAAAAAAAAAATTATTTGATTAAGATATTTTTTAACTTTATAATATAATAAAAATATTTAAATAACTTATTTCTTTATTAATATATAAATTTACTTATTATATTATAAAAAAATTTATCTAATTATAATAAATAAATATTTTTAAAAACTTTGTTTAATTGAAATAAAAACTTGAAAATTTTAGCTTTTATCCAATAAAATCTTTTTATTATCAGAAAAACTTATTAAGATATTATAATTATTTTCTTAAAAAATTTGCTTAACTAGAAAAATATATTTTCAAAAACTTTTATTTTTAATTTTTAATAATATTAGTAAGATATATAAAACTAATATATTTTGTATTGATTAATCATTTTTAATAAATATAATACTATTAAAAATTTTAAGATCAAAATAAGATAATCAAAGTTTTATTTTTTTTCAAAAATTTCCTTTTTTGATAATTTTCTTGAAAAAAGTAAACCAGTTCAAACATACAAGAAAAAACAATATATTCTTTGAACCAAGCTATCAAGTATTTTCAACATACATATAAAAAGTTATCCAGAAATATTAAGGAAAGAGGTGTATATTGTTTTACTAACTTTTTTTTATCTTTTTTTCTTAAAATTTTTAAGAGAAAAAAAAGAAACCTGTAAACTGATTTACAGTCAGAAAAAGGGAGCCAATATCAACTTCACATAGCTCACAGTCAGGCCAGTATAGGTTAACACCTTTCTTGATACTATAAGGAACCCAAAAAGCAACTAAACCCACTTGATAAATCAAGTTGCTCCAGTTACTTAAAAATCCAGAAGTATATTAAAGCTTCCTAAAGATAAAACAGTCTAAACATACATATACACATAAACAATATACCTATTCCTTATCTTGTCACATGAAAATGAACATATAAAAGTTAGACAAGTAAAACAAGTATACATATAAAAGAGACAAATAAAATACATACGTATACATATAACTTATTATCTAAACAAGTTGATCAATACTTTACACAAGTACAACAGCAACTCTCAAAAGTAGAATAGAATCATAAATATAAATAAATAAACACATTAAAGCAACAAACAAGATTTTTCTGTATTACCTAATTGAAATATATAAATAACAACAATCTTAAAAAGATTTATATATAACCTAAAAATAGATCATTGATAAATACAAATAAGCATTCACGTAATTTATCAACAGATTTGAACCAGTAAACATAAATAGAGTACAATGTATATTACAAATAGTCAATAAGAAAAAAGAGGATATAATAAATACCCTAATCAATCTTTCAAGAAAATATGAGAAACACTCTATCCTATAGGTCTCATAACAATTACTACAACTCAAAAATAGTGAACTCAATGAATCAATAGTTTCATTACCTGAAACATATATAATCTTGGATAGTATTATAGCTAAGATATTAGGAGTTGATGTGACAACCTTTCACAAGGAAAGATTTAAACTCAGAATATCACATACCTCTGGCAATAAGATAAAGGGATAAAAGAAGATCTCCTACAATCTTATATAGCAAAGACAAGTTTATGGAAATTATCAAAAACCCTGTAAACTATACTAAACCAGAGTGTCAACCAATGAAGATCTTCAAACAAATAGATAATGAATTAATAGTAGATAATAAAGTAACAATGACATGTATACAGAAGACAGAAGAGCTTGAATTACAGGAACTCCAAGAAACAGTCAAAAGATAATGTATTAGTAAACACAGTTCTTATACTACTAGAAATAGAAACATGGTACTATTAATAAATCCATATTTTATAAAAAAAAAAGGAACCTATAGACTAGAAGCAATGGCAGCCAATATTTCAAAAGAAACAGAAGATGAAACTAAAGTATACGTAGGCAACATTCTCAAACTTTCACAAGAAAAAAGAATTTATTAATGAAAATAAGTGGATTGTCTTTTGGGTACAAGATGAAGAAGACATTACAAGATGCATAGAAGAAGTTAACTGAAAAGAAAACAACTTCATGATTTAACATATAACATTCTTAACTACCCACAAGAAACAGAAAACAAAAAGAAACTTAGATAGAAAAGTTTTTCAAGAACCTAAAACCAAAGAGAATACCGAAGTCTGACATGTATATCTAATAGATATGGATCAAAAAGTCAATAAAAACCTTATAAAAGCACATTTAAAAAGATATGGAGAAGTTCAAAATATTCATATTTATGAGATAAACACAAAACCATAGGTGAAGGCTTATATCAAATGGCACAAATATCTTAGCTTAAAACCTGAAGCAATCTGGATAACTCCAATTGATACAGAAATGTCAAGAGCTATATTTTCAAAGTTTAAGCTCAGTGACAATGAAATCAACCAGATATTAATTGAGAGAAATGATAATTTAGTAAGATTCCTGGATACTAACAAAACCTATATTAGTTTGATAGTCAGAGCATTGAATAGTACTCAAGCTAAGGCATGCTATATACCCAAAGATCCCAATATACTCAAGAAGCATAACTTTATAGTAATCTGCTTCAAAACAAAAGAAAAAAGAAATTAGGTATGCAAACAATATATTTTCTTGTAGAAACTCTGCCTCTATTGAAGTATCAAGTATACTTTTAAAATATAAAAACAAAATCTTAAAAATGAAAATAGAAATACAAGATTTAAGTCTAGAAGCATAGAATAGATAATGAATTAACATCAGATACACAATCAGATAATAAATCAATAGATTCTATTTCCCCTTCACCAAGTTATCATATATTCAGAAACTAGAGATAAATTAGATACAAAAGTTACAATAGAATAAAATAAGAAAAGAACAAAAAAAGAGAACATCCAGCAATAGGAAGCAATAGAAAATCAATTAAAAATCAGTGAATCAATAGACATAGTTTCCTGAAAGATAAAGAGAGACCCAAAATTATAAGTTCTCAAGATCTCTTTAAGAGTATTTTAGCCAATCTAGAAAGACTACATGCTAGAATAGATACATTAGAGGGACAGACAGTCTTCAGAAGATCAAGACTAAGTAGTAAAGAAGCAAACCACTTCTAAAGGTGCACCAGTCCTTGATAACAATCAAGAGGAGCAAGAGTCCACTGCCTTCTCATCAAAAACTATAGATGTGGGCAATAAATGAACTTTAATAAACAATAATGAGTTGGAAGAAATGGAATATCTAGATATCTCACTATTTTTACAAGATGAGCAAAAAGATTTTCTAAATAACAATAGTAGACACAAACTATTCAAGAAAATTCATGAAGAAGATGATATAGATAAAGGGTGATCAAAATCAGCACACATAATGTCAGAGAAATCACAGATATAACAAAACAACAAAATCTGATTGAAGAGATACTAGAACAAGGAATAGGTATATTGGGGTTATGTAAAACAAAACCAACACAAGTCAATGCATAGTGGATATTTAACAATCAAAAAGATTATAAACACTTTTATAGTACTAACAAAGATATACTATTTGGAGCTGGGATTAGTCTCTTAATTAGAAGAGATTTGAAAAAAAAAGTTGTATCAATAGAAAAGAAGATGAATATATTATTGCTATCAACATGCTTATGAAAAGAAAGAAGATCTATATTATACAAATCTATATTCTTTCTGATAAACTAAGGTATAAAATAGTACAGAATAAGATAACTGATTTTATTAAAAGAAAATATAAACAAGACTTTCACACAATAGTAATAGGAGACTTTAATACAGCCTATAATTTATCAGAAGATAGAAAGTCTTCTTCTAAAGCAAGTTTCAGATCATCATGGTG